GATTTAATAGTGGTCACGTGTCTGCAGGACATATGTAATAGCACAGTATAGAGGGCGCTGCAGCTCGTGCGCAATGGTGCAGTACAGAGCGCGACAACAAGTCATGCTTAATAGCCCAGTATAGAGAGAACTGCAGGACATATGTAATAGCACAGTATAGAGGGCGCTGCAGCTCGTGCGCAATGGTGCAGTACAGAGCGCGACAACAAGTCATGCTTAATAGCCCAGTATAGAGAGAACTGCAGGACATATGTAATAGCACAGTATAGAGGGCGCTGCAGCTCGTGCGCAATGGTGCAGTACAGAGCGCGACAACAAGTCATGCTTAATAGCCCAGTATAGAGAGAACCACAGGTCATATGTAATAGCACAGTAGTACAGAGGGCACTGCAGCTTGCGCTTAATATATCTATATTATAAGAGAGAAGAGGCCGATTTTCTGACGTGGTAATCTTCGCCGCGGTGAACATCAAGCCCACGCCACCGATCTCAGTGTATAGCTCCTGTGTCCGACACCAACATAGGCTTAGCCATATTTGTCAAATCCACTCATATTTTATAGGTGTAATGACGATAAATAGGCCTTAATACGGGCGATAATTCTAGCAGTAGGTGATGTCAAAAAAGTATAACAGCCGATTTTCCTGCGAATGTAGCCATCTAGTGGACAAAAGCCAAAACTTTTTTAATACCAGGCTAAACTATGCAAAATTTATACATTTTTTTATTATGCACTCAGTTGTCAGTTGAGTCTCAAAAGCAGCACAACACTCACTTTTAGTGGTTCATTTTCGTTCATTTGTATTTTTTAAATTGTAATTTGTCTGTGTATACATTTGGATATAATGTATAACATGGTATAGAGAATTATGTTTGTTAAAATTAGCTGCTATTCATTTTTTTGATAATGTCATCACTGTTGCAGATCTCTGCCAAATTGACCAACTAATTTGGTTAAAATGAGGTGATATCTATACGTTTGGAGAAATATTGACTTTTTTAAATCTGGCCATTGTTTTACGATAAAAGTGACCCTGAACTGATACCGTGCTATATTGACGGGTTTAGTTTATTGACCTATGCATTTGGTTTATTTTAGTTTTCATGTATTATTTTGATGTAAAGCGAATCCCAATGATAAGAGAGACACGTGACAGAGGTCACCTGTTGTGTATTTAAGAGGCGAGACTATAGGCTTGCAAAGCCAGAGAGGCATATTTATAATAACTTGGCGCAATTTCGGCGAGATAGCGCTAAATATGATTTACATATACACACTTGAGATGACATTCGATAAATATCTGGCTGATGTCAGAGCAAAGAGCGCGTAAAATAAGCCTCGGCTCTTTGCTGCTACAGGTGGTAATTCTCGCGACATTCTACGCTTTGATCATCAAGAAGCCTGACAAAGCTCAGCAGGAGAGAGACAACACTCTAGAGCACGACGAGGTAACTGTTTACTGCTTGCTCTCTGTAAAGGAAGCTGTAGGAACAGTGAGCTTTAGGCTGGCTACACAGTGGCTGTACAATGGTGAAAGGATATAAAAGACTTGAATCGCCTCCTTAAACGCGCAGGTAAAAGTAGTACATGACATTTGTGATTAATAGGAATTCATTTACGAGAACTTCAAGGAAGCGGATCTGAAGGATCCAGCAAAACTGTCCGAGCTGCGCAAAAAGAAGTCGACACGGTTTATGCCACCCACTAATGAGAGTCTAGGAAACTACAAAGAACAGAGGTATTATATTTATCAGGATTGTCTATATACTCTTCCCCCAGCCGCCGCTCTCTCGGCCTCTTTCTCGCGCGCGCTCTTCATTTCCCTCGTTCTCTCTTTCTTTCTCTCTGCCTATTTATCTACCTAAGATTTTGTAACACCAAATTATGTCTGATATACGACGTTAGCTCAGAATACTAGCTCAATACCCCTTCCAGTTTCTCTCTCGCACTCTCTCTCTCCCTAACTCTTGCGTTATGCAACAGTGTCGACAGCAAAATCTTTTCGGCCAGTTATATTCATCTAATCTTCATCTTATCTTTGTCTAATATATTTCTAATCTTCGACTTATCTTCGTGTTATCTTTATGTAATATTCGTTTTACCTTCGACTTATCTTTATCGTATATCCGTCTCATCTTCATCATCTTCGTCCTATCTCCACGTAATCTCCGTCTTATCTGTGTCTAATATTCTTTCTATCATCATGTAATTCTCGTCTTATCTTCATGTAATCCTCGTCTCATCTTCATATAATGTTTGTCTTATCTTCGTCTTTTGTTCGTCGTATACTCGTCGTATCCTCGTTTTGTCTGTGTCTCACCTTCGTCGTATCTTCGTCTTATCCTTATCGTATCTTCATGTTATCTTCGTCGTATCTTCATGTTATCTTCGTCGTATCTTCATGTTATCTTCGTCGTATCTTCGTCTTATCTTCATCGTATCTTCATGTTATCTTCGTCGTATCTTCGTCTTATCTTCATCGTATCTTCATGTTATCTTCGTCGTATCTTCGTCTTATCTTCGTCGTATCCTCGTCTTATCCTCATCTTATCTTCGTCTTATCTTCGTCGTATCCTTGTCTCGTCCTTGACTATCGCTTACGCTATCTTCTTTAATCCTTCTTTTCGGTTTATATTCGCGGCCTTAACTTCGGTCTTATCTTCGTTCGCTATCCTTAGTCTTATCAGCTCATCTTATCTTTGCCTTATCTTCGTCGTATTCTCGTCGCTTATCTTTGTCTTATCTTTGTCTTATCTTCGTCGTATCTTCGTCTTGTCTTTGCCTCATTTTCGTCTTATCTTTGTGCTTTAGGTTGCAGGAGATACAGATGCAGATGATCATCCGCGAGGTGATTGTCTACGTCATCTTTCTCTACGCGCTGCTCATGGTTGGCTACGGAAATCGCGACCCGAACTCCTACATGCTGAAGAAAACCTGGGACGAGATGTTTATCGATGGCGTCATCGGTAACCTTCCGAAGGCATGAAACGTCGACGGCGACTTCTGGGATATTCACTTGGTGCGTCGAACAAAACTACAGAACATTCCACTCGCGCTGCAGTCTGACCGTGGCGTGGTTTAGTCTGAAAGTGCTAGAAGTGAATGGACTGAAAACTGAATTATTGATACAGTGGTTTCCGTTTAATTGTCCCTCAGATAAACGGACGCATTGCCTAAACAAAATATTTAATTGAAAAACAATTCTTCTGCGCATGTTACCGTTATGGTTACGTGTTCACCGCCTAATCGGATCGATCACCACTTCCAGATAAAATGGCAACTACTGTACTTTCTATGATTACCGTTCATTCACTTATAGTGTCGTCACAACGCCCATCGTGTAGCGACGAAGTCACTGATTTAACCCGTATTCAAATCCACAGTTTACCCTTATAAATTTACTGATTGCATGGATATGCGATCATCTGTGCTGTCATCAATACATTTGTGACTCGATTACCTGTTACATGCAATACTGTGTGCGTAACCTCTGGCATTGAAACTATATTGTCGATATAGTGTGCTCTGTAGTACAGTAATCCTCAGTACTGTGACCTCTATTACGGTTACCTGTAACATCATGACATTCAATATTACGACCTGTAGCATCGTGACCTT